TAAATAAAGCAAATAAAGCAAATCAATGAGAGCCACAAAAGGATTATAGGCTAATACGCTGGAATATAAAGAAACTAAATGGAGCATAATAGCTACCGGGAATATGTAGATGCTATAAAGACGACAAAATTAAAAAAGAAAAAGAAAAAGAAATTACCTATAGAAGCAGAACAAGAGAGGGTTCTTACCCTCTACAAAATACCAAAGTAGAACGGAAAGGAAGTCCGAATTTGGGGTGATAAACCTCTCTTTCCCTTCTTTTTTTTTAACTTTTTGTGTCGTGTAGTGTATTTGTATTAGGAGGAAATAAGTTATTCAAGGAAGTTAGGGTGAAAATAATTCAAGACTGAAATGTGCTTAGGTGACTCTGGCTTTTATATCGCCATCCCCGCCGAGTCAAGTCAGCTTACTGTATTCACCCATACTTGTCTTGTCCTGTATTGTCATGCACTGTTTTCGTTTTGTTAACGTTTTGTATTGTATTGTACTGTTTTTTCTATATTGTAATAATAAAAAAATTATTAAAAAAAAAAAAAACAACAAAGATCAGGATCCATAGGTCAGTTACAGTTAAAGTGGCATCGAATTGCTGTAACTGTACAGAACAGACACATACTTGCAGTGACAGCAATAAGAAGCATTTCAACTTACCCTGTAAAACCAACACCTTTAAGCTGTATCACTGCCATTTTGGGGAAGGCCACATTACTAAGATATTTGGGGGTCCACTAAGTCCTGTTTTTGAACTGTAAACCTTTTTTTTTACTATACTTGTTTCCTAGTAGAAGAATTAGATAGCATCAAGAACCGAGACACATATTTTGCTGTTTTTATCCACCTGTTCTCGTCTTTCGTTTTGATGCTTGTTTCAACAGTAAGTGTGTGAGAAAGAAATTTTGGTCCTTCTGATGACTTGCAAGCTGCTCTGGCAGGCTTTCCAGTGAGGCATAAATGCTTTAAGCAAATGAATAAATACACTAAGCTGGTTTTCTCAGTTTATTATTTGACCATCCAATCAATCCAAGCAACACATCTATTTGCCTTTATTTTATTAACTTATTTTCATCTACTAATTTCTTCTAGTAATCTGAGCTGAAATGTGGTGCTGGAAGAGAGTTCTGTGGATATCATGGGCTGCCAAAAATAAATGGATCCAAGAGCCAAGCAAATGAAGCCAAAATGATTGAACTGAGTCTACCATACTTTCGACATATCATGAAATGACACCACATTGATAGGGGAAATAATGTTTGGGAAAGTTGGAAGCTGTAGAAAAAGTTGGTTTGATTTAATCAAGGGAGCAAAAGACTGAGTTTGCAAAACCTAAGCAGAGCTATTCATGACCAAGGCTCTTGGAGGTCTCTCCATCATGTCACCACAAGCCAAAACTGATGCAGTGGCAAACAACAACACCTAAATAGGCTTCCCAGAAGTCCTAGAACCCATTTACTGAAAACTGCTGGAGGGAAATTCTGCTCACTCCTACTAGTTGGCATCATGTAATCTGTTCATGCTTTATGACTGCCACTATATTCCACTGTCGGAGAAAGAATTTCACTATTGATACTGTTTGTCTGCATATATCTACCTAATTTGCTCACTGAAGTTAGACTGACACAGTTACTCTGAACTGCTTCACTGATACTTGTTAGACTGAAGCAGTTCAATTGACCCCAAGATTTAATTTGACTTTTTAATAAGTCAAAATAGGTCAAGCACCTTAGATGGTTCCCTTAAAGTCCAGACCAGTGGTTCCCAACCTGTGGTCTGTGGACTACCAGTGGTCTGCAAGATCACAAATATGGTTCGTGGCCTCACCATTACTACACTGTTACCTCAAAACCATGCAGCAACGAGAGAGACTGGTCTCGCGAAACTTTCTTAAAGTGTTAAGGTAACAGGAAACTTTCTTAAAGTGTTGAGGTAACACCCACAAAAGATTGCTACTACCACATCAGCTCTAGATTATTAAGTATGGCTTTCTGTGGGCGAGCAGATGGCAACTACTGGATGGCATATGTTCTGTATCAGAAAAAAGAGCTGATGTGGTCTATCCAATGCAATTTTCTGAATCATCACCCCAAATACCGAAACCAAATCTAAAGAGTGGTCCCTGGCCAAGAGATCCCTGTTCAAAAAAAGGTTGGGAACCACTGGTCCTGACCAAAATCCAGACTGGCAACACTCCCTAGCTAATGTGAAAGGCACCAACCATCACTGCAGTTATGTAATGCCATTGAAGGTTCTTGGGCAGCAGTGCACTATCCAATCAAAGTACATTTTTGATGAAGGAACTGAATTACCTGATCCCAGGCCCATTGAAGGCACTGATCCTATATAGAATTAGACATTCTTATAGATGCAGGGAATGCCGTGGATGTGGCATACCTGGATTTCAGTAAGGCCTTCGACAAGGTCCCCCATGACCTTCTGGCAAGGAAACTAGTCCAATGTGGGCTAGGCAAAACTACGGTGAGGTGGATCTGTAATTGGTTAAGTGGACGAACACAGAGAGTGCTCCCTAATGCTTCCTCTTCATCCTGGAAAGAAGTGATGAGCAGAGTGCCACAAGCAGGGTTCCGTCCTGGGCCCGGTCCTGTTCAACATCTTTATTAATGACTTAGATGAAGGGCTAGAAGGCAGGATCATCAAGTTTGCAGACGACACCAAATTGGGAGGGATAGCCAATACTCCAGAGGACAGGAGCAGGATTCAAAACAATCTTGACAGATTAGAGAGATGGGCCAAAACTAACAAAATGAAGTTCAACGGTGACAAATGCAAGATACTCCACTTAGGCAGGAAAAACGAAATGCAAAGATACAGAATGGGGGACGCCTGGCTCGAGAGCAGTACGTGTGAAAAAGATCTTGGAGTCCTCTTGGACAACAAGTAAAACATGAGCCAACAATGTGATGTGGCGGCAAAAAAAGCCAATAGTATTGGCATCAATAGGAGCATAGTGTCTAGATCTAGGGAAGTAATGCTACTCACGCTCTATTCTGCTTTGGTTAGACCACACCTGGAATATTGTGTCCAATTCTGGGCACCACAATTCAAGAGAGATATTGACAAGCTGGAATGTGTCCAGAGGAGGGTGAGATCCCATCTGAACACGAGGAAGAACTTCCTGACTGTGAGAGCCATTCAGCAGTGGAACTCTCTGTCCTGGAGTGTGGTGGAGGCTCCTTCTTTGGAAGCTTTTAAACAGAGGCTGGATGGCCATCTGTCAGGGGTGATTTGAATGCAATTTCCTGCTTCTTGGCAGGGGGTTGGACTGGATGGCCCATGAGGTCTCTTCCAACTCTTTGATTCTATGATTCTATGATTCTATTCTATGATTCTATAGCAACACCTTTGATTTCCATAAATTTAAGCTTGCCGTAGTCTCCATTGCATAGGACTGCACTTTATTTTGTTGCAGTTGATCAAAACACTGGATGAATGGATCACACTCCTTGTACTACTGCCTTCTTACATCTTCACCAAAGTTAAACTAGCTTAATTGTTTGAAGAAGTAGACTAAGTCCACATTGATTCTACATAAAACAGTTTCAGAATGCAGATTAACTGCATTGAACTGGATTATACAGCAGTGTTGACTCATATAATCCAGTTCAATGCAGACTAATCTACATTACATTACAACTTCAGCCCTCCAGGTGTTCTGAATTTCAAATGCCACAATTCCTAACAGCCAACAGGCTGTTAGGAATTGTGGAAGTTGAAGTCCAAAACATCTGGAGGGCTGAAGTTTGTCCATGCCTGGTTTACACTGAACTTATAATAAGATGGATGGATGGCATCCTGGCTTAACTTTGAAGGAGCTGGGGGGTGGCCACGGCCGACAGGGAGCTCTGGCGTAGGTTGGCCAAGAGGTCATGAAGAATGAGAAGCGACTGAACGAATAACCCAGGCATGTAGCCTGGGGTGGGGGGGGGGGGGGGGGGCTTGGGGGGCTTCAGCCGCCCCCGAAATTCTCATGGTGGTCCGTGAGAAGGCCTTACTGGTACATTATTTAAACTGTTATGTTTATTTATATCATGATCTGATCACCATGCTCAATATATCCCATATGCATGGGGGTATTGGGGTAACGATACAAAAGGTTTGCTAGGGTAGACCCTCTTTCACTCAGACTCACCCCCCCCCAAACTCACCCCCCCCGAACCCCCCCTGAAAAAAACTCCGCCCCCCCCCCCCCCCCGAATCGAAATCCTGGCTACGGGCCTGGGCGGGTGGAAAGTTTTGGTAGAGAAACTTCCCCATCCTACTAACTCCATGTATTCCTTTGAGTGAGGAGCTTAGCTAGGCGGTCGCACGCACATCCACTCCACAAGACGTCTCACAAAATGAGGAGAATGGTAGAATGATGGAATCAGCATCACCACGGAATGAGCACCATTCCAAAAGCCAGTAACCCTGTCCATTAAGGCGATTCCTCTAAGATCAGTCCTTCCACCTCTTCCCAAAATGCCTATATTTGCTGTCAAGCTGTTTGTTTACAAACGCTGGCGAGCGGAGAGGCGCAGGGACCGCTTCCTCCTTTACGAGCGGCCCCCTCCTGCTTCCTCCTGCTTCCTTGGTCCCCTCGTTGAAACCAAGTCCCATTTCCCCACAAAAGAGGATGCCGCCAATTGCTCCCAATGCACGCGGGAGTTTCAGGGCTCGGGTGTCCGTGCTAAGAGCCAAGCCACGATTAGAATTAATCCTCCCTCTCCTCGGTCTCTCCTCGGTCCCTCCTCCCACGGAGTGGACTGTTCCAAACTCACCGGGGGGGGGGGGTGGATAGGGAGACCTTTCCAAGAAGCTTCCACCCCAGCCTTGTCGGGTAGAGCTTTCCCCTTTGGAGTTCAACCCCCTTCGCTTCTCAGCGGTTGCCTTGTCGTCCTTTTCCCGGCGCGGGAGCGATGTAGAGCAAGCCTTTCCTCGCTTCTCTCCCCCCCTTTTCCTTGTGAGAATGGTATGTTCGGAAGAAGGGCTCTGGGCTCCTGGACGCGGCTCCTCCAGTTGCGTTCGCGGCTCGGTGGAGTTGGCGGGCAGCTCTGCTTTGGGGAGCCCGCGGGGGCTTCAGCGCCTGGGCTCTAACTCTGTGGGTGGCTCTCTCACTCTTTCCTCCTTCCTTGCCTCTCACTCACTTCTTCTTTGACATTTTTCCTTCTGGCAATTTTCTTGCTTGGTGAGTATTTTTTTTCCTCCCTTTCTTCTTCTTTTCCTCCTCTTTCTTCCTTTCCCCAGTTGCTTTTTTCCCCCCTTTATTATTCTTTTACCAACTCCGACAAAAGATTATAATCCGGAATTCACTTTTTTGTTGTTGTTGATGATGATGTATGGCCCTTTTAAAAGAAAACAGTTTTTTCTTTCTTGCTTGTCTGTTTGATATATTTGAAGTGTGAGGTGTAACTCATTTGGTCCTCTCTCTTTTTGGGCTCTTATTCCCCCACTTTCCAATATTTTTCCTCCCTGTGCTTCTCCCCCTTCTGTGTTTTCCTTTCAACCCCACAGAGCTCTGTTTTTTGCAAGCTTGTCTTATCAACTCCCCCCCCCCCCCCCCCCCCCCCCCATATACACACACTTGTCTTATAATCCCCCTTTTTTTGTTTTTTCTTCTTGGGATGTTGGACTGCTCTGTATGCCTTTTCTTTTGTCTTTGAACTTTCAAATGTTTCTCCTCTTTGCTATGACAAAGTCTTTGGTTCTTGTGCCTGCTGAAATATATAGCAATTTCTTGCCATTTTTTAAGAAAGGAAATTGGAAAGACACCACTGACAGAATGGAAATCTTTCACTTTCTTTTGTAATGGTCCCTTGCAAAGTGGATTTCAAATATGTTTTGCCCTGAGTCTGGAAGCGGCAAAGAGCCCAGAAGTGCTGTGTGTGCCAAGAGGTGGGTAGTAGGATGGCCGGGGAGCGGGATCCTTCCCCACACACACACTTTGAGTCTCCAGGAAGCCAAAAGTGTATTGCAAACATCCTCCTGCATAAGAGGAACACCAAAATGAATAAAATCAACAACTTCATATGTGTTGATGTCGGCACTAGAGCACTTTCAGTGCAGGTGTGGTGGTTTCTGTATGGAGTTATGACTTGTTCTTCTATCGATGATGTCTATCTGATGGATTGGTGGAAGCAATTGAGGAATGGACCTTGTTGACGTGCCATGAAATTGGCCTCATGCAAATTTTAAAAAAATCTCACAACATTTTGTTATTTATTTTATTTATTTTGCATCAGAAACATAAAACTGATAGTCAGTATATTTTCCTTCTTTTAATGTATTGGGAAGCTTATAACAAAATAAAATAAAATTCAAAAGTAGATATGGAATGACATTTATTTTGCATCAAAAGCATAGCATAAATTAGCATAAAACTGATACTTGTCAGTATATTTTCCTTCTTTTAATATTTTGGGAAACTTATGACAAAAAATAAAATTCAAAAATAGATGTGGAATGACATTTATTTCACATCAAAAGCATTGCATAAATTAGTATAAAGCTGGAAAAAATAGAAGCACAAGTGGCTAAACATGTTTTGACCAAAAACGGGCAACAGCAACTGCATTGTCTGTAGCTTCAAACAATTATTCCTCTTTACATGAGGCAGGGCATTGTGGACAAGCATACAGGTGTGGAGTTTTCTGTTCTGCTCCACAGTCACTCAAGGGGGAGGATTCTTTTAGGTAGTGCCATTTTGCTAGGTTGTTTTTTGATCTACCCAGTCCAATTATGAGTGGAGTGGGTTCAGGGACTTCCAAGTTGCCCATTCTTAGTTTGCCCCTGGAGTCAGACCCCATGGAGGGGCCATCCAATTGGGATTTCCTGGTTTAGCTGCCCAGAGAGATACTCCTGCTGTTGCTGGGGAAACATTAAGAGGAATGGTGGTTCTCATGAAGCTTTTCCTTGATTTAAGCCTACTGGGAGAAGGCTGATAGCCATGCAGTGTGTGGCTAACATTTTATTAGATTGAAGTTAATTTTGCACCAGTATTACCAGAGTAGCCTGTAGGCATGGGCAAACTTTGGCCCTCCAGGTGCTTTGGACTTCAACTCCTACAATTCCTAACAGCCAAGAGGGCTGAAGTTTGTTCATGCCTACTCTAGATGGACTCCTCCCTGGGTTACTTTAAGCAGTATTTATAAGAATACAGCATTGAAGGCTGTAGTCTTCAATCCTGAAGGAAGTAAACTTTAACATGTGCTTTGACATAGGAAGCTACCCATATTGTTTCCAGAAGTCTTGCCTGCTAAGATTTTTTAACTGAAGATGCCAGGGACTATAACCAAGATTTTCTGAAAGCATGACTTCTGTTCTGCCATCGGTCTGTGGTTCCTCCCATAACCTTTGAGACTATCTTTAAAGGACACAAAAACCTTACTATGCTCTGTGTCCTCAAATCCTCCTGAGAATCTTGGCTAGGTTTTGAGATGGTTCAGTCAAGAGTTAGTGACTTGCCCAGGGCTGTGCAATGAACTGAGATCTGAACCTTGCTATCTTGCATCTAAATCAAAGATTGTAGTAGTTGCTGTGCTGGTCTTGCAATATGGGAATTGCATCTTGCTGCTCAGCAGTGTGTAAATTGTATACACCCACGCATTCAAGTCCATTGAATGAAAATAATAACAGTGATACATGTAAGTGATACAAAATTCAATGGCAAAATGTACCGACTTAGTGCCAGTGAAACTGAGTTCTTTTGCGCTCTTCTTAAAGATCCACCCATTGTTTACCTCTTAGTTTACTTCACCCTTCTGTCAAGGAGCTATTGCTAATTTCAGTCTCCCATTCTTAGGAAGTAGATCAGGCTGAGAGATGGTGACTTGCCCTGAAGCATGAACTGCGTTTTGCAGCTGAGTAAAAACGTTAATGTGGATTTCTCAGTCATTCCAGTTCCTCCATAATACACCAAAATGAGCAGACATTTAGGATTTGTCATATTTTTCAGCTATATAAGATAGCACAGAACTGCTACGTCTTACAGATATGAACAATAATGTGATTGCCATTCCGTTCTTGACATGCCCCGTCTTGGCAGGAGCTCAATTTCTACAGGGCCTTGTCCTTGAAAGGGTATAATGAAGTTTCCATTTGAAAATCTGTGTTTCCAAAACATTATGTTTCATAAAGCACTTCCTTTGAATTGGCGTGCCATCTGAAATCTTATTGAAGTGCTAAGAACATCCAGGAAGAAGGTCATATGGTGAACAATGCAGGATGTCTTGGACATGATAGAACTAGATAAGCTGTGAAAGTCAGATGTGTTTGTACATCTACTTCTAGGGAAGTCAACCATGGCATAGTGATTAGCCTTGAGTGCCAGGCTTATGGATTCACATGCCCATGTGCATGCTATTTTAGTGAAACAATCCCTACTTTTTAATTCAACTGGTTGTTTTGTTGAGCTAAATCATAATGCTATGGAGTGGCAGCTTCCTGATTTAAATGCACTCTTGCCATTATTTTCCATTTGGTTTTTTTCTGATTAATCACACCTGCTGCTTTTTGAAAGTTTCTTATACTGTGGGCTTCTTTCTTTTTTTCAAAGAGCTTCAGAGCCAATGAAATAGCCAGCCCACTCAAAGCTCAGCACCCAGAACCACATTCATTTTAATGGGGGAAGAGGCAAGTATATGCCTAACAATTCTAGTGAATCAAAGGGATTTCAGTCATAGTAAATTTGTTGAGATCATGTTGGCTATGACTAGAGAAGTGCTTGTACAAAAATGGGCTGGGTTTTGTTTTTGTTGCTATTTTATTTATTTTTAAAAAACACAGAAGAAAATTCACCCCAAAAAGTGTCAGGACCATGGGGCAAGAGGATTTCCTCCCAACAGCAGAATCTGGGCCCAGAGGGGCTTACACAGCCTGACACAACAGGAATCGGTACTGCTGAGCAAGAGCAAGACACTCCAGGGAGAGATACAGATGAATATAGGTAGAATGAGTCTCTTCAGGAGGAAGAGCAGAACTTAACTCTCCCTGCCCAGTTGCAAGTCATTCAGCTGCACAGGTCCAATTGGTTGGCCCAAAGAGAAAGAACGCAGCATCAAATGATGGAGCAAGTATAGAGCTCTTTGCAGTCTTTTAAAAGCCACCCCTCTCAATAGTGGCTTCTCACTGGTATTATTCATATTTATAGATGTTTTTGGTTGAAGAAATAAATGGGTTTGGCAAGAATGCAAGGCATCTCTTTGAAAAGCACATATACCTTAGACTAATATTCTTCAGCTGCCTAGTAGAATACCAGTGGAGAAAGTATGCTGGCTCTGACTGTCAAGATAAAGTTGTAGATGGATTTCAAGGGAAAAGCAAAACAAAGAAAGTGAGTCTCATAAGGATTGCTTGCTTCTGCTGAAAAAGCAGATAACCATGATTTTGGAAGGATGTTTTATCTTGTATTGGTACTTACTGCTGTGAAGGTTTGTGGCTGAGAACACGTGTGTCAGGAAGGATAGACTTCATTCCATTAATGCCATGGCTTCATCAGTTAATAGCAAAAGCAAGGTCTGAATGATTGTTTGTTCAGCTCAAAATCTTGGTCAGTAGAGCCTAGACCATATGGCTCTTACAATATTGTTGGACTGCAAATCCAATTGTCCTTGGATACTCATTACTTTGATGAAGTCTACTCTGTTTTCCTTGCCTAAGAAACTCAAGTATGCATGAGCTTCTTCTAAAACAGAGAATCTGAAGAGCATTTTTTCTACTTCGTTAAGCACACAATTGAGTAAGTTTTGCAGAATATTCATAAAAATAATTTGAGGAGCTTGGCAACAATATAATATCATATATTTATGGGATATATAGTATATAATATATATAGTACATAGGATTATATACCAATATAATATAAAAAAGATGAAATGAACTAGCAAAGAGATGTAGGTTGGCATTGAACACTGAAAGCAAAGGCGGAGTGAAGTCTGAAATAATGAGCTGTGTAGACATAGTACTCGCATATATTGCCATAGTGAATGTTTTCTAAATTTATAAAAAAAAAATTCTAGGCAAAAGTGTTTTAGGTTAACAAACGATTTTCTTCTAACCTCAATGCATAATGTAAGAAACAGTCCTAAAAGGTTCAAGTGAAGGACCTTCTACCGAAATCAAATGATTGTATTAAACATGGTTCAGTGTGTTAAAAAATGGACACCCAGGAAGGCAGAGAAAATACTTTCG